AAAATGTATTTTAATACTAAGAGTAGTTGTTCATTGTATGAGTAAATGATTAGATAATTAAAAATTATATTTATCAAAATATAACATCAAGTAAATCAAAAAAAAGAAAAAAAAAAGGGAAAAACCCGCGGCGTAAAGCGGGTGATCAACTACCAACAAGAACAATCAAAATAATTTGTTATTAACAACTTTTAAAACAAACCCACGCGTAGCGTGGGTATTTATCTAGTGAGTTTAATACTCTTAAATGTCTTTACAAAATTAGTGGTTCGGGTTATCGGTTTAAAAACAGATTAAAATCTTTGGTCATGTAAGTGTGGTATGTGAGATGAGATACAAATATTCGTGACTTGGTCAAATATGGAAGAAACTCCAACAATTCCAATTTATCACAAACACAAAGTTAAACAAAAACATCCCAAGAACGTAATTCCATCAAGCTATTGGAAGTGGGACTTGTTTGTGGACGATCAAAAAGCCATATAAAACACTCTAGAATCTGATTTGCTTAGCCACAATTGCACAACTTGTGCCTTGTTCAGGTTGCTGGACTAGCTTCATAGGTTTGACTCGTGCGATATATATATATATATACACTCAAGAACAAAGCCAAGGAGAAGATAAGCCTTAAGAAAAACTTTTACCGATATTTTGTACTAGAGCTCTGTCCTTGAGTTCTTGTAGATGGATGGTTTTTGCTCGTGTTATAAATAAACGTTCGTTATAAATACAGTGTTTTATTTTATAGTGGATATAAATATAAATAATAGAAACAAAATTATACATGCAAAAAGAATTGGGATACTGAGTAATAAAGTAAAACGAGTGAAGAATTTTGTTATTACTTTTCTTGTAATTGAAATTATAAATTGTGTATTACATCGATTGAATTCGTTCGTTTATATAGAAGTAAAATAGTAAATTACTATATGTGTATAGTGACGGTGTGCTCTACATAAAAAATATCAAGCACAATGTTAAATATATGTGTGCATCAATTGTTGACAGATTGTTTACACACAATGTTAGACGGATATATTAATTATATCTCTAAACCAACAAAAAATATTAATAAACAAAAAATTATGTCTAAAAAAAAATTAAGTAAATTCCTGAAAAATAAGGAAAAATTGGTAAAAAAAACCTTCACCTTTTCTAAAAACATATAAAAAACTCTCAACTTTTTTTGTGAGATTTTATACCCTCATCTTTACATAAATAGTAAAATAAACCCTAATAATAAACTAATTTTTATAAACAAATCGTCATATAAAAACATAAATAAATATAAACAATTTAATTTAGAATTTTTTCTTCTAAAATTTTAGTTTACAATCTTTTTCTAAACTAAAATTTTTTAAGGCATGATGTAAAAAAGTTAATTAATGAAGTTTTGTTTGGTTGTTTTACAAAAATTCATCAACGTGGCCAAATAAATTTTGTTACGAGTGATATATAAATTCTTATACCGATCCGAATATGAATTTATGTTAATAAAGGTTTATTTGGTTCAATCACAAAAATTTACTAACGTGAAACCAAACCAAATTTTATAATACAACTTAAAGTATATCAATTTCCACATCAAAATATTTTCATCGGACAAAATAAACTAACTAAACATTTATGAACAGTTAATATATATATAATTACTATATATTAAAAATATAATATAAATTATATTTAATTAATTAGTATTTAACTATATTTTATCCAAAATTGAACCTCCAACTGAATATGAATTTTGTTATAATTTTGACTATTTCCTAAATCAAAACATGAAAAACTCGAACAAACCAAAAAAATCAAATATGCTATCCTGTAAGTTTTTGTAGTTTATATAACATAACTTCTAATAGTAACAAAAGAAGATTTGCTTAATCTCAACCAAATGGTGAATGAATTTTTATATCGCAAAAACTTTAATTTTAGAAGAAAAAGAATTGCAAATTAGAATTTGAAAAAAGTAAATCATAAAAGAAATTGTTTTTGTTTGTTGCTGTTTTAATATAATAATTTTTTAAAATTCAAGTTGAGTTTATTAGTAATAGGGTTTATTTTACCGTTTATGAAAAGATGGGGGTTTAAAAACCTACAAAAAAAAGTTGAGGGTTTTTTTCTATGTTTTAAGGAAAAGTGAGGGTTTTTCTACCCATTTTTCCGAAAAATAAGATGTAGAACTGCTGCTAATTTTATCAGCAAATGTTTTTACCGTTTTCATTTCTAGACCAAAGAAAGGTAAGTAAACTCGGGAAAAATTAAACGTAGTACTAGAGCCAATTCTAAAATGAAAGTTGATTAGATATCGGGGTTTAAAACCAACTGAATCAAAATTATCAAATGAACTGCTGCTTCACTTAGTTTTAAGGTAAAACTTGGACAAACATCGGAGTTTGAAACCTTATGAATCAAATATGTATAATTTGTCACAAAATGTACATAAAAGTCTCTTCCTTTTGAAAAGTGGACATGGCTAACTCCATAGAGTCATATAGAGACGAAAAAAATGTAACAACTTGTGAATATATTTTAATATTTTGTACTCAAAATTAGGCCTGGAAGTTTGGGTACCCGTTCGGTTCTGGTTCGGTTCCGGTTCTTTTAGTTCTAGAATTTAGGATCCATATAGGAACCAAATAATTTCGGTTCGGTTCCGATTCCGGTTCCGGTTCTTTCGGTTCTGAAGTTTAGGATCCATTTAGATATTTTTTTCGGATATTTTTAGGTATTTTGGATATTTTTGGGTATTTTTGGATATTTTTGAGTACTTTTTGGATATTTTAAGTATTTTTTGATATATTTTCCAAATATTTGTTGATATTTCGGGTATTTTTGGTTATTCGATATAAAATAAGTAACATTTTCATATATAAACTCATATTTCGGATATTTTCGGGTACCCGAAATATTTCGGTTCAATTCGGTTCCGGTTCCGGTTCTTTCGGTTCTAAAATTTAGGATCCATTTGAGTATTTTAAATTTTCGGTTCGGTTCTGGTTCGGTTTTTTTTGCTTCAGTTCCGGTTCGGTTCTTGTGGTTCGGTTTTTTTAGCCCAGGCCTACTCAAAATGTTAAAGGTGTACGTTTCTGAAGTTAAAAACCGGTTTACTTCTATTTCCGGGTATGGTGTTTTAAATACTTTGTCGACTCGACGACTTCCTTGTATTTCCGGGTATTATCACATCCTACAGTTAGAGAATCCACCTTATAACTCTTGAATGGTTGGTTTATTTCTAGGATATGTCAATAAATAAGTAAAATTGGACTATTGTAGCGTGACAATTGCCGTGACAGTGACCTCAACAATTGCTGACAGTTTGATTCTCATTGTTAGGGTCAATGTCGATGAACCAAATTATGTTAGTTCATGTTTGAAAACTATTATTAAAATAGTTAACTTAGCTGGAGCCGTGAAAGGCATGCACAAAAAATATTTTAGATGCTGACAAGAACGTAGTTTGGTTGGAGTTCATTATAGTATTAGTTAAGAGCATGAGGATCGTTGAAGTAATTAAATGTGAAATGTGCAACTCTTGATTATATCCTTTGAAATCTCACAAAAATGATATATCGGTGAATATACTAAAAGAAGAATACAAACAAAACAATGTCAATTAAGTTCTTTATCTCATAAGATTAGTTTATTTACTTGTACAAGTAAATATACAGCAGATTAGATAGCAAGATCGTAACTATAACAGGTCGTCAGTCCAAAACGTGCCAAGTTTTGTTAAATTTGTTTTCGACATGACGTATATATTGAAAGTTTAGAAACTTGTGATTTCTTTTTAATAGAGTAACCAAACGTAGCTAGTAAAATGATCGATAAAATTATGTAATATTGTAACCAATAAGGAAGAAGCTGATCATGGCCACTCGTATTATTAGCGGACAGAATCTGTTGACTATAGCATCGTTAAGCCCATGTGAAACTTCTACTTAAACTAATTATACATTTATAGTCAATGATCATATTATTATTTTCATTTTTTGGGCTCTGGTTTCATAGTAAAATTATATATTTTTAGTGTCGTTTTTCCTTTGTTTAGTTTCGTTTTGAGTCGTTTGTCCTCTTGAAGTCTCTCTTTTGTGTCTTTTATGTTTCGTTTTGAATCTTGTAGAGGTTTTAGGTACTTATGGTAGAATTAGATGGCTTTGAGCTTGTTCAGGTCACGAACTGGCGAAAAGAGCTGAAGCGAGGAGCAAGACAAGTTAGACCGATCGGTTCTCCACTGGATTGATCAATCCGAAGTTGACATTCGTGACCAGAGACGGTTAGACTGATCAGTCCTCCCCTGGACCGATCAGTCCAATGCTTGGACGGCAGAACAAAGCCGGTTAGACCGATCGGTCTCCACCTGGACCTATTGATCCGAAGCTGGAACTACGAGGCAAAGTTGGTCGGACCGATCGGTCGTCTCCTGGACCGATCGGTCTGGTTTCATGACGCTCCAAATTATTATTTTTTTTAATTTTCAGTTTAATATTTTTCTGTAATTGGGGATAAAAACTCCAAAAGACCTAATTACTTTTGAACGTTTTATTTTGTGCAACTTTCCGAGAGTTTTTATGTAAGTAACTACTCTGGTTTGGAGATTCATATTTTTGACAATTTGGAGAAGATTTCTAAACTTTATTTCGTTTCTATTCTATTGAATCATGTTTTCTTTCATATTTATTAACCTTGTCTCTTTCTCTATGTGTGAGTAGTTTCTCAATTGGGTTTTAGGGTCCTTAGTAGAAGAGTCAATGAATTAGTGAATTGTTTGTCATAGGGAATTATCTCCATCATTAGGTTCTTCGATTTACATGTTCTTAATGCTAGAATAAGATATGTTTTAAAACATAGGTTTTTCTATGCATCAAAAGTATTTGATAGAATGCTTGAACGAATGTTAATTGAGCAATATGTTTCTATTCAACGAGAGTTGATATAAGAACGCATTGTAGGAGGTCTTCACCAATAGTAGGAGGTCTTCCCAATTCAACTTCCTGAAATACTTTAGCTTCCTGAAAGTAGGAGGTCTTCACCAATAGTAGGAGGTCTTCCCAATTCAACTTCCTGAAATATAGTAAATAGGTCAGAATATAACTAAACAAAACCAAAACTAAAACTTTGATGTAACTTACCATCTCTTGCTCTACTTGTAAGAAAGACTTTCGAATAGAAACATGCTTGTGAGGACCAAGACCATTACGGCCAGACATCCTAGCTGCTGATGTGGTTGAACTCTTGGCTATTGCTTCTTCAGTGTCCCAATACTGACACATCTCTTTCCACAGAGTTTTCTCAATCCAATACGGCTTCTCTCTTTTTGTCGCTGCCTTACTAACCATGTCTTTCGTACGCAGTTGAATGATCTTATAGAATTTAGCTTCAACCACACCTGTCAGTGAGGGATGCAAGGTGTGTTGTTTCTACAAAACAAGAGGAGAGTGAAGCAAATGTTACTTATACAAAAAACTAAACAGAAGTATAAAATACAGTAGTAGAAGAGGGATAGAAGTTTACCGCGAATTCAAGGAAGTATCTTTCTCTTCTTCGAGTTGGCACACAGCTCCAACTGTAGTATGATCCATCAAACGTGTTTGTAAAACACTTGGTGATCTTCCGGGCCAGCTTACCATTATCCTTACCAAACCTACAATCACATAAAACAGTTAGCTATGAATTCATGTAGATAACAAAGCAGACCTAACAGACCTAAACATAACAAAAGACTGAGAATTACCTAATTTATATACTAACAAAGCAGACCTAAACATACCATATAAGTAAGCAGACTGATGTGAGTCAAATTAGACCTAAGACTACTCTCTCAAATAAAAGATCAATTGCAGTACATTAGGGTCAAAATTCACAAAGCTCTTGTGTTCACACAATAGACTAACAAGTTTTGAATTAAGCTAAACAGAAAAGATTGTAAAAATAAAACAAGACAAGTAATTAAAATCGAAGTAAATTCAAATGAGAGAAACGTCAGGTATAGGAAAATTCTCAGGAAATAAATAAATATCAGATCTAGCAAATTAATTAAGATGATTTAATGAACCGTTCTAGAACTCAAATCACTAATGTATAACCAACCACCTCTCGAATGTATTGACTAATTAAACCTAATATCAGGAAGTTCCACCTCTCGAATGTAAACTCCTAGAATTAGAATAGCATTGATAACAGGTTTGATATGTTCACAAATATTCCTAGACCACCTCTCGAATGTATCTAGTAATTTCTGCCCACCTAAGATAGTTCCAGTAATAGATGACCTCTCGAATCTATCTATTATCCTATGATCAAATTCTAGGTGATCAAGCTAGAATTAGCATTAAGAACAATCAAAAGTGGAGAACTCTATAGATATTACCCTAACAGGTTATCGATCTACTAATTCATCCAAATCCCTAATAAGAATCCCTAAACCTAACAAACAAACTACTCAGACACGGAAATTGAAACAAATAACATGTTATGAATAGAAAGCATAAAGAGATTCAATAAAAGAGATGAGTTTAGAAAGATCTTCTTTGGAGGAGCTATCTCCAATTATCACCCAAAGGGTTCAAGCTCCCAAAAACAAAGTAAAATAAAGCTTAAAGATATTTCTAAAAAAAAAACCTAAAAAGCTATTTAATTTATATGTTCTTAAAAACGTGTAGGGACTTCTTGAAAATAGGGAAAAGTTCTGGGACGATTCTGCAAATCTTCAAAATTTTAAAGAGACTCGAAATTGAATTGCCGTCAGATATTGGTGTCGCCCGACACCAGGGGTGGTGTCGATCGACACTTGCACAAATTTTGGTCTCCGGATTGCTCTTGTAGCACAACTTCTCGGTTTTGCTCCAGAATGATCCATAATCTCCAAATTACTCCCGAACGTGCTAAAACCTGAAAATGACTAGAAAAGACTCTAGAAATAACAAAAAGACTCTAAAAACAATACATATATCATAGCTAAAAACGGTAAAATCCACGATATATCACCTACCTTACAAGCTGACATAAACATACCATGTAAGCATCTACCAAACAAACTATCAAACAAACTAATCTATATACTAACTAACAAACCTAACAAGTATTTAAAACAGACTAATCAATATACTAACTAAGCAGAGAGTGAGAGAGAGTGTGAAACCTACCAAGTCGTTCCAGGCTCTAATGTCGGAGAGATGACAGTGGTATAGAGCTCACGGCCTGGCATGGAAAGCATGTCATTTTTAAACTAGCAAGCACATCTTCCGGGAGAGTTGAATCCCTCAAACCTTCTTCCTCCGATTCAGCTTCATCTTCAGCTTCTTCATCTTCTTCATCCTCTACGTTTTGAGCTTGAGAACTGTGACCAGACACAGAGGCTCTTGGTACCTGAAGAGGTGGTCGTTGTTGATTAACGACTGGAGAATGAACCGGCGCTGGAGACTGAATAGGCGCTAGAGACTGAACTGCGCGAGGAGATCCGGAGGCTAACCGATGAACAGAGGAGACATACCCTCTAACTTGAGTCAATCCGGATGCTCGAAACGGAGTCGTTCCAGAGGCTCGAGGAGATCCAGAGCCTCGAGGAGATCTAGATCCTTCGCTGGACTGGAAAAGCTGCTGAGGAGGTGGATAATCTCTCAGACTCAGACCCCGTGAAGGCTGGCGAATCGGATTTTGCTCAGTCTCTAGAATTGGTTCTTGAGGGTTCGCCGGCGTGAAGTCATACTGCGAGGGAAGGCTTCTAGGACTTCGAATCGACACACCAGAAGATGTGGATCGACTTGGGACAGTGGGTCGCTTCGCCGGAGACTTCGGTCCCCTTCCTCTTCCTCTTCCTCTGCCTTTTCCACCGCGAACATGAGGAGCCATCAGAGAGATTGATGAATATTGATGAAAATTGGAAGAAAAGAAGGAGAATCAGAGAGGAACAAAAGAGAATTAGAGAGATTGCAAGAGATTGCGAGAGATTGAGAGAGAATCAGAGAGACTGAGAGGGATTAGGGTTTGTAGGATGAAAAATTGAGAAGAAATAGTTCGATTTGATGAAGGATTGAGAGAGAAATCGAGGGTTAGGGTTAGGGTTTGTCGGGAGAGAAATCGATTTGGGGATTAGGGTTAGAGAAAATGCGGAATTAAGGTTTCTCGGGTTAGAATAGGGTATATATAGCTGGGCCAACGGAGAAAAGTTAATGGATTGAGCCCAATTAAAATGCCCAATAAGAAAATATAGTCGCTAAAACGTAGCTAATCAGTAGCCGGATTTGGTGACTAAATAATCAGAAGCTAATTAGTCGCCTAATTAGGCGACTAATTAAAGACTATTTTTATCAGTCTCAAATAGCAGACGGATTAACGACTATTGTTGTTTAGGCAACATTCATTCGCCAAAATGTCGCAATACTGACACATCTCTTTCCACAGAGTTTTCTCAATCCAATACGGCTTCTCTCTTTTTGTCGCTGCCTTACTAACCATGTCTTTCGTACGCAGTTGAATGATCTTATAGAATTTAGCTTCAACCACACCTGTCAGTGAGGGATGCAAGGTGTGTTGTTTCTACAAAACAAGAGGAGAGTGAAGCAAATGTTACTTATACAAAAAACTAAACAGAAGTATAAAAATACAGTAGTAGAAGAGGGATAGAAGTTTACCGCGAATTCAAGGAAGTATCTTTCTCTTATTCGAGTTGGCACACAGCTCCAACTGTAGTATGATCCATCAAACGTGTTTGTAAAACACTTGGTGATCTTCCGGGCCAGCTTACCATTATCCTTACCAAACCTACAATCACATAAAACAGTTAGCTATGAATTCATGTAGATAACAAAGCAGACCTAACAGACCTAAACATAACAAAAGACTGAGAATTACCTAATTTATATACTAACAAAGCAGACCTAAACATACCATACAAGTAAGCAGACTGATGTGAGTCAAATTAGACCTAAGACTACTCTCTCAAATAAAAGATCAATTGCAGTACATTAGGGTCAAAATTCACAAAGCTCTTGTGTTCACACAATAGACTAACAAGTTTTGAATTAAGCTAAACAGAAAAGATTGTAAAAATAAAACAAGACAAGTAATTAAAATCGAAGTAAATTCAAATGAGAGAAACGTCAGGTATAGGAAAATTCTCAGGAAATAAATAAATATCAGATCTAGCAAATTAATTAAGATGATTTAATGAACCGTTCTAGAACTCAAATCACTAATGTATAACCAACCACCTCTCGAATGTATTGACTAATTAAACCTAATATCAGGAAGTTCCACCTCTCGAATGTAAACTCCTAGAATTAGAATAGCATTGATAACAGGTTTGATATGTTCACAAATATTCCTAGACCACCTCTCGAATGTATCTAGTAATTTCTGCCCACCTAAGATAGTTCCAGTAATAGATGACCTCTCGAATCTATCTATTATCCTATGATCAAATTCTAGGTGATCAAGCTAGAATTAGCATTAAGAACAATCAAAAGTGGAGAACTCTATAGATATTACCCTAACAGGTTATCGATCTACTAATTCATCCAAATCCCTAATAAGAATCCCTAAACCTAACAAACAAACTACTCAGACACGGAAATTGAAACAAATAACATGTTATGAATAGAAAGCATAAAGAGATTCAATAAAAGAGATGAGTTTAGAAAGATCTTCTTTGGAGGAGCTATCTCCAATTATCACCCAAAGGGTTCAAGCTCCCAAAAACAAAGTAAAATAAAGCTTAAAGATATTTCTAAAAAAAAAACCTAAAAAGCTATTTAATTTATATGTTCTTAAAAACGTGTAGGGACTTCTTGAAAATAGGGAAAAATTCTGGGACGATTCTGCAAATCTTCAAAATTTTAAAGAGACTCGAAATTGAATTGCCGTCAGATATTGGTGTCGCCCGACACCAGGGGTGGTGTCGATCGACACTTTCACGAATTTTGGTCTCCGGATTGCTCTTGTAGCACAACTTCTCGGTTTTGCTCCAGAATGATCCATAATCTCCAAATTAGTCTCGAACGTGCTAAAACCTGAAAATGACTAGAAAAGACTCTAGAAATAACAAAAAGACTCTAAAAACAATACATATATCATGGCTAAAACGGTAAAATCCACGATATATCACCTACCTTACAAGCTGACATAAACATACCATGTAAGCATCTACCAAACAAACTATCAAACAAACTAATCTATATACTAACTAACAAACCTAACAAGTATTTAAAACAGACTAATCAATATACTAACTAAGCAGAGAGTGAGAGAGAGTGCGAAACCTACCAAGTCGTTCCAGGCTCTAATGTCGGAGAGATGACAGTGGTATAGAGCTCACGGCCTGGCATGGAAAGCATGTCATTTTTAAACTAGCAAGCACATCTTCCGGGAGAGTTGAATCCCTCAAACCTTCTTCCTCCGATTCAGCTTCATCTTCAGCTTCTTCATCTTCTTCATCCTCTACGTTTTGAGCTTGAGAACTGTGACCAGACACAGAGGCTCTTGGTACCTGAAGAGGTGGTCGTTGTTGATTAACGACTGGAGAATGAACCGGCGCTGGAGACTGAATAGGCGCTAGAGACTGAACTGCGCGAGGAGATCCGGAGGCTAACCGATGAACAGAGGAGACAGACCCTCTAACATGTGTCAATCCGGATGCTCGAAACGGAGTCGTTCCAGAGGCTCGAGGAGATCCAGAGCCTCGAGGAGATCCAGAGCCTCGAGGAGATCTAGATCCTTCGCTGGACAAGAAAAGCTGCTGAGGAGGTGGATAATCTCTCAGACTCAGACCCCGTGAAGGCTGGCGAATCGGATTTTGCTCAGTATCTAGAATTGGATCTTGAGGGTTCGCCGGCGTGAAGTCATACTGCGAGGGAAGGCTTCTAGGTCTTCGAATCGACACAGTAGAAGATGTGGATCGACTTGGGACAGTGGGTCGCTTCGCCGGAGACTTCGGTCCCCTTCCTCTTCCTCTTCCTCTGCCTTTTCCACCGCGAACATGAGGAGCCATCAGAGAGATTGATGAATATTGATGAAAATTGGAAGAAAAGAAGGAGAATCAGAGAGGAACAAAAGAGAATTAGAGAGATTGCAAGAGATTGCGAGAGATTGAGAGAGAATCAGAGAGACTGAGAGGGATTAGGGTTTGTAGGATGAAAAATTGAGAAGAAATAGTTCGATTTGATGAAGGATTGAGAGAGAAATCGAGGGTTAGGGTTAGGGTTTGTCGGGAGAGAAATCGATTTGGGGATTAGGGTTAGAGAAAATGCGGAATTAAGGTTTCTCGGGTTAGAATAGGGTATATATAGCTGGGCCAACGGAGAAAAGTTAATGGATTGAGCCCAATTAAAATGCCCAATAAGAAAATATAGTCGCTAAAACGTAGCTAATCAGTAGCCGGATTTGGTGACTAAATAATCAGAAGCTAATTAGTCGCCTAATTAGGCGACTAATTAAAGACTATTTTTATCAGTCTCAAATAGCAGACGGATTAACGACTATTGTTGTTTAGGCAACATTCATTCGCCAAAATGTCGCAATACTGACACATCTCTTTCCACAGAGTTTTCTCAATCCAATACGGCTTCTCTCTTTTTGTCGCTGCCTTACTAACCATGTCTTTCGTACGCAGTTGAATGATCTTATAGAATTTAGCTTCAACCACACCTGTCAGTGAGGGATGCAAGGTGTGTTGTTTCTACAAAACAAGAGGAGAGTGAAGCAAATGTTACTTATACAAAAAACTAAACAGAAGTATAAAAATACAGTAGTAGAAGAGGGATAGAAGTTTACCGCGAATTCAAGGAAGTATCTTTCTCTTATTCGAGTTGGCACACAGCTCCAACTGTAGTATGATCCATCAAACGTGTTTGTAAAACACTTGGTGATCTTCCGGGCCAGCTTACCATTATCCTTACCAAACCTACAATCACATAAAACAGTTAGCTATGAATTCATGTAGATAACAAAGCAGACCTAACAGACCTAAACATAACAAAAGACTGAGAATTACCTAATTTATATACTAACAAAGCAGACCTAAACATACCATACAAGTAAGCAGACTGATGTGAGTCAAATTAGACCTAAGACTACTCTCTCAAATAAAAGATCAATTGCAGTACATTAGGGTCAAAATTCACAAAGCTCTTGTGTTCACACAATAGACTAACAAGTTTTGAATTAAGCTAAACAGAAAAGATTGTAAAAATAAAACAAGACAAGTAATTAAAATCGAAGTAAATTCAAATGAGAGAAACGTCAGGTATAGGAAAATTCTCAGGAAATAAATAAATATCAGATCTAGCAAATTAATTAAGATGATTTAATGAACCGTTCTAGAACTCAAATCACTAATGTATAACCAACCACCTCTCGAATGTATTGACTAATTAAACCTAATATCAGGAAGTTCCACCTCTCGAATGTAAACTCCTAGAATTAGAATAGCATTGATAACAGGTTTGATATGTTCACAAATATTCCTAGACCACCTCTCGAATGTATCTAGTAATTTCTGCCCACCTAAGATAGTTCCAGTAATAGATGACCTCTCGAATCTATCTATTATCCTATGATCAAATTCTAGGTGATCAAGCTAGAATTAGCATTAAGAACAATCAAAAGTGGAGAACTCTATAGATATTACCCTAACAGGTTATCGATCTACTAATTCATCCAAATCCCTAATAAGAATCCCTAAACCTAACAAACAAACTACTCAGACACGGAAATTGAAACAAATAACATGTTATGAATAGAAAGCATAAAGAGATTCAATAAAAGAGATGAGTTTAGAAAGATCTTCTTTGGAGGAGCTATCTCCAATTATCACCCAAAGGGTTCAAGCTCCCAAAAACAAAGTAAAATAAAGCTTAAAGATATTTCTAAAAAAAAAACCTAAAAAGCTATTTAATTTATATGTTCTTAAAAACGTGTAGGGACTTCTTGAAAATAGGGAAAAATTCTGGGACGATTCTGCAAATCTTCAAAATTTTAAAGAGACTCGAAATTGAATTGCCGTCAGATATTGGTGTCGCCCGACACCAGGGGTGGTGTCGATCGACACTTTCACGAATTTTGGTCTCCGGATTGCTCTTGTAGCACAACTTCTCGGTTTTGCTCCAGAATGATCCATAATCTCCAAATTAGTCTCGAACGTGCTAAAACCTGAAAATGACTAGAAAAGACTCTAGAAATAACAAAAAGACTCTAAAAACAATACATATATCATGGCTAAAACGGTAAAATCCACGATATATCACCTACCTTACAAGCTGACATAAACATACCATGTAAGCATCTACCAAACAAACTATCAAACAAACTAATCTATATACTAACTAACAAACCTAACAAGTATTTAAAACAGACTAATCAATATACTAACTAAGCAGAGAGTGAGAGAGAGTGTGAAACCTACCAAGTCGTTCCAGGCTCTAATGTCGGAGAGATGACAGTGGTATAGAGCTCACGGCCTGGCATGGAAAGCATGTCATTTTTAAACTAGCAAGCACATCTTCCGGGAGAGTTGAATCCCTCAAACCTTCTTCCTCCGATTCAGCTTCATCTTCAGCTTCTTCATCTTCTTCATCCTCTACGTTTTGAGCTTGAGAACTGTGACCAGACACAGAGGCTCTTGGTACCTGAAGAGGTGGTCGTTGTTGATTAACGACTGGAGAATGAACCGGCGCTGGAGACTGAATAGGCGCTAGAGACTGAACTGCGCGAGGAGATCCGGAGGCTAACCGATGAACAGAGGAGACAGACCCTCTAACATGTGTCAATCCGGATGCTCCAAACGGAGTCGTTCCAGAGGCTCGAGGAGATCCAGAGCCTCGAGGAGATCCAGAGCCTCGAGGAGATCTAGATCCTTCGCTGGACAAGAAAAGCTGCTGAGGAGGTGGATAATCTCTCAGACTCAGACCCCATGAAGGCTGGCGAATCGGATTTTGCTCAGTATCTAGAATTGGATCTTGAGGGTTCGCCGGCGTGAAGTCATACTGCGAGGGAAGGCTTCTAGGTCTTCGAATCGACACAGTAGAAGATGTGGATCGACTTGGGACAGTGGGTCGCTTCGCCGGAGACTTCGGTCCCCTTCCTCTTCCTCTTCCTCTGCCTTTTCCACCGCGAACATGAGGAGCTATCAGAGAGATTGATGAAGATTGATGAAAATTGGAAGAAAAGAAGGAGAATCGGAGAGGAACAAAAGAGAATTAGAGAGATTGCAAGAGATTGCGAGAGATTGAGAGAGAATCAGAGAGACTGAGAGGGATTAGGGTTTGTAGGATGAAAAATTGAGAAGAAATGGTTCGATTTGATGAAGGATTGAGAGAGAAATCGAGGGTTAGGGTTAGGGTTTGTCGGGAGAGAAATCGATTTGGGGATTAGGGTTAGAGAAAATGTGGAATTAAGGTTTATCGGGTTAGAATAGGGTATATATAGCTGGGCCAACGGAGAAAAGTTAAGGATCGAGCCCAATTAAAATGCCCAATAAGAAAATATAGTCGCTAAAACGTAGCTAATCAGTAGCCGGATTTGGTGACTAAATAATCAGAAGCTAATTAGTCGCCTAATTTGGCGACTAATTATAGACTATTTTTATCAGTCTCAAATAGCAGACGGATTGGCGACTATTGTTGTTTAGGCAACATTCAGTCTCAAATAGCAGACGGATTAGCGACTAATTTATCAGTCGCTGAATATGGTCGCTAATTGCGTGTTTTCTTGTAGTTAGTCTAAACTTGTGTTCATGTTTGAGAACGGTTCTTCATATCCGAATTCTCTTTTACATGTATTCATAAGTCATTTTCGTTGAATTATCATATAGCCCAATGTCTTTAATTCATAAGTTTAATCGTTAATTGATTTACTGAAAACCAAACAAATACTCTTTTCGTTTTAGTTAAGAACGAGTCTCGGAAATCCTTAGTGTATCATTGGTTCGTGTGGATCGATCTCGCATATATACTACATTTCGGTTAAGTGTATTGAATAATTATTCGAACAATCAATTATAGATGCCGACAGCAATACATATGGTTTGTTGGACTTTAAATATATGGAGTTTTATTTATTAGGAGCGTGAGGAACGTTGAAGTTATTTAAATGGTAAATGCGCAAACTCTTGGTTATCTTTGACAATTATATATCCTTTGCAATCCCTCAAGAAAGATACATTCAATTTTTAGTGGTGTTTTTAAAAGTAAAGATACAACAAAACAATGTCGGGACTAAGGCAAGTGTTTCATCTCTTACAACTTCATTATGCATTCATTCATACGTTGATTAATATACTTTACTTGTCAATTACATATACAGAAGATTGGATGGCAAGATCGTAATTATAACAGGCGGAGCTAGCGGGATTGGAGCTGAAGCGGCTAGGTTGTTCACAGATCATGGAGCTAGAGTGGTCATCGTTGACATACAAGAAGAGCTTGGTCAAAACCTATCCGTTTCGATAGGGCTAGACAAAGCAAGTTTTTACCGTTGTAATGTAACCGAGGAGACGGAAGTTGAGAATGCCGTTAAGTTCACCGTTGAAAAACACGGAAAGCTTGACGTTCTGTTTAGTAACGCCGGGGTCCTGGAACCTTTTGGAAGCATTCTTGATTTGGATCTTGAGGCGTTTGATCGAACGATGGCGGTCAACGTTCGCGGTGCGGCTGCGTTTATAAAACATGCGGCGCGTTCGATGGTTGCTAGTAAGACTCGTGGCTCAATTGTTTGTACAACGAGTATTGCGGCGGAGATAGGTGGTCCGGGACCTCACAGTTACACAGCGTCTAAGCACGCGCTTCTCGGGTTGATTCGATCAGCGTGTGGCGGGTTAGGGAAGTACGGGATTAGAGTCAACGGTGTTGCACCATATGGGGTTGCGACGGGGTTGACTAGCTACAATGAGGAAACGGTGAAGATGGTTGAAGAATATTGTGAAGCCACGGGGAATCTTAAAGGTGTGGTGCTTAAAGCTCGCCACATCGCAGAAGCAGCTTTCTTTTTGGCTTCTGATGATTCGGCTTATGTTAGCGGTCAGAATCTGGCGGTCGATGGCGGTTTTAGCGTCGTTAAGCTCACGTGAAAAAATAAAAACGAAAAGGATTGCATAAACTCTCTTTCATTTTAGTTCTTGAATAAAATCGAATTAATTATTAAGTAATTTGATAGTTGTGGTTGTATGTTATGGCCTCTTCTTGGGCCTTTTACCTTGAGTTTAATAGATTTCTTTTTCTTTTAGTTTCTCAATTCTTTCTCGTTGTTCTTTTAGCTTCTTCTTATGATTAATGTGTACTTTGGATTGTGTTTAGCTGTGTTTATCTAATTATAATCTTTTAACCATGGAATGAAGTAATTATTGTTTAACCATGGAATGAAGTAATTATTGTTTAACCATGGAATGAAGTAATTATTGTTTAACCATGGAATGAAGTATTTCGTTGGTGCACAAAAAGAAAAAAATGTTTTCAAATTTCATTGAGAAAGAAAAAAAGATTTTGTAAGCCTAGTCACCAATGTTTTCAAACACGTCACTTAACATCCTCGTAAGTTATGTGTTTCTTGATAAGGAACAAATAGAAAATGGAGAAATAAACGAAATCAATTAATGAACGCTTTAATAAGATTCTATCAAACAAAGCTAGTCGATAAGGTGATGTACTGAGAGAGCCTAAAAAACCTAATTTAGACGTACAAGACTACTGCAACCACATGATCTATTTCTAAAGTCATGATACACTGGGCTTATGTCATGATTTTTTTTTTTTTTTTGGTATCAAGATGTCAAGATTTACCAGATACTATCATAACGACCTTATCCTTCCGGTGAGATTACTTACAATACAACTTAATTGAACATATTCAAGAACTGTCACGTGCATTGACTAGTTCTTGCTGATTTGTTTTTAAAATGCTTGATCACTTGGTAGAATAAATGTCGATGCAGGTTTATACTATGATCACGCAAAAGAATTTTAGTATATAACTCAAACATTAATAAACACGTTTTAAATTGAATACAATATACATTTTGTATGGTATCAATGCTCTTTCCGCGTAACAAATTTCTCCGGTGAAGGGTGTGTAACAAACTTTTCTGGTGACTTTTTCTGACGATTTCGTCTTTTCCGATTGATCTCTTCTTCGTTTTCTTCGTCATTCTATGCTTATCAAGCTTCGATTCCAATCAATATTGGCGAAGAAAGGTGCCAAAACTAGGGCTCCAGCTTCTTCACCCGATTTTGTTTCTAAGACTGCTTCTAGAATTGTTTCAAAAAAAAAAAAAAAAAAGACTGCTTCTAGAAAAGCTTAGTCTCTGCTTCAAGATGATGTTATAGGTGCGACTGTCAATTGAAGAAGCTCCAGTACTTCTTACACGGCTCGTGACCTAGCTGGGAAAATCTCCTCTGGTGATAAATCCTTCGATAGCTCTTACAGTCCGTTCTTCTTACATGCAGTGGATCATCCAGGGTTAACTCTTGTTTCGCATAACCTATATGGATCTAATTACAACAGCTGGTGTGTTGCAATGACTATCGCTTTAGAATCTAAGAATAAGTTTCTATATTACAAGAAAACTTGTGTTTTGTGACCCCAAAAATTGTCATAAATGAGTCGCAAAACAGCTCTTTGCGACTATTTCCAGACTACCAAAAAATGGTCGCGTATGCCAAAAGTAGTTGCAAATGTGTCGTCACTAATTGAATTTGATCACAAACGGGTCGCAATTACGCAACGCTTTCGTGACTACCTTATGTAGTCGTATATAAGCGATTGAACTGAGGCATGATAAATCTGCTAACATTTCTAAATCTACCAGTACACCATTATAAATCAGTCACATAAATCTACTGCTAGATAAATCTGTCACATAAATCTATTGTTAGATAAATCTATCACATAAATCTATTGCTAGATTCATAAAATTTGTTCTAGTAATTTCAAAGAATTGTATATCCTCCCATATAAATTTGCTCTCAGTTTGTATGTTTTACTGACCATTTTGCATATTCTTTGATTCTTTGATTTTTTGTTTTAAATTATTAATATTCCAAACTGCGTTAATACAGAGCAAAGAAACAACAAACAAAGAGTTTTAGTATATAATGATTCAACAACGAAACAAAGAGTTTTAGTATATAACTTAAAGACCCACTCTTTTCGCAAGCTGTATGTTTATTATTGATTTTTTTACATGGAAAAAAAACAAGAAAAGGAAAGTGATGTAACAGTGGTGATGAGTTTCGCAATCTGAGTCGTCATCGGAGGAGCAAGCGCAGAGCCTTTGTGTAATATGTGAGTGCCCAAAGACTGAAAATGTTTCTATATGTTGGATAATGTAGCAGCACATTCATCTTGTAAACTCCTCTTAGTTCCTACAAAATATTAATGACCAATTATATTATCATGAAATTGGATGTCCTGAACAAAACTAGGATAACAAGAATCACACCTGTTGCGGAAAATCACCGTTATCCATTTGCGAATTAATTATAACTTTCGCAGCACGATGAACTGGTAACGGGTCTCTCTCCATCTGACCACTCATTATTAGAACCATCATTGCTTGTCCCGTATTTACCACATTGGTCTTGTTCCCTTCCAAAGGAATATATTTCTTGTTGGGACAAGAGAGAAAACTTTCTCCCCAACCGCCTTCAATATTTTGTATCTTAAGAAGGAACTGAACCGCTCTACGGATCGACTCAGAGCTATGGTAAGTCTTGCCCGCAGCCACTAAACCTCGGACAGCAAAGAATGTCGCATAGATGAAGCACACTCCCCAATTTCCATACCAAGAACCATCAGCCGTTTGCAAACTTTCTATGTATTTTATTGCCTTTGCTATAAATGTTTCTATTTCTTTTGTTCTGTGCCCTGGAAACTGTTTCATGAAGCGAGTCAACACTACTACCGCTGACCCCGTGCATTCTAGATACTCATGCTCGAGTATTGTGTCTTCCATAAACTCTATGGGGCTAAGCCACTGCATTTGAATTTGAAATCATTTTTTCATTTATATCCAAAGATAATGAAACTTGAAACATATAAATGATAACTACCTCTAGCCATTTTTTCCCACTCGCTGCCTCCCATACCGCTATACCTCCATTTTTGCTCTGTCATTAAGAGAATTTTATGTTCTTTTTGGTTAAATGAGAATTCTAAGTTACTAATCAGCTTGTGGTATTTTAAATAAATTAACAAAAAAGATTTACCTGCAAATAGAGAATCATATTGACTGCATCATAAAGCCTCTCCACGTCCATTTTCTCACCAATGAAATTAGACGGCATGCTCTCAAAGATCAGGCAGCACTGACCACACACGCGAATTAGTAATCATATATATTTTGAATGACTAAAAGATTTTGGGCCTAATTCCGTATATCCCCTCATGCCAGGGACTAGACCATTTTATATATTGGGATTGCAAGATAGAGAAACACACACCTCTAAACTCTCAGAAGTACAATCTGAAGCTGGCCATCCTTGATCTTTGTCCGAAAAACCCCATCCTCCTTTGGATATGTCTCTGAACATTTTGATATAGTCACCAGGAGGATTCTCTACAAGCTGAGATTTCCTCAAGAAAGAGTATCCTTTTATGAGCGTTGATCTTATCTCATCATCAATATCAGCAGCTAACATGACTTGTAGCAACAAGGCTGTATCCCATATTTGGCTACCAAAACTCTACACATTAAGTAAATAATTTAATGTTATCTCGATAATATGATACTTGACTTGTAGTCTAGTGAATTCGCATTAGTGCCAAAATAAATAAAAAGAACTAACCTGGATTTTTAGGCCGTCCTCCGAAATCCATATGTAACCAGAGACACGAGCAAGATGTTTTTTAAAATAATCACTCTCGGGATCCTCAGCCCAACAAGCAAGCATATGAAACACCTAATAATTATTTAAAAAAAAACATATATAGCTAATTAACATTTTCGGTTTCTCTTTACAACTTTTTTTATTTCTTTGTTTTCTTTTCTTCTATTTTTGAGTCAAATACGTTTACCTTTGGCACACCTCCACCGGTAATGTATTGGGAGGCTTCGTCATAGTAATGGATAAGTTCCATTGCCCTTCGGATAGCTCTTTCTCTTATGAGCTTCTTGAAAGGCCATCGATTTAAGATATTCTCGGAGAACATGTGAACACTTTTCCAAAACAAGTCTTGTACAAATGTTTGTGGATGGTATAGATCTTCCTGCATCATCATGTCATTTAAAACTTTGATTGTTTTCTATATTTTGAAGAGCTAAGTAACCTTGCTTTTCTCATAAGCATACAATGCATTATATATGATTTAAACTTTTACCATTGCACAACGATTCCGAGCTTGACTCCAAATAATTTCACCATACGCCTGAGGATAAAGCTCTTCTCGGAGCTGTAGAATGAGAGGTGTTGGAGTAGCTACAAACTTTTTACCATACAAATAGGACAGTGCCATGAAAGTATCACGCAAATAAATCCAAACAGTGCCTGCACGTGTATAGTAAAATAATTAAGGAACGTTAGGACACTCCAACGTTCAAACTCTATCCATAGCACCACGTATAATAAAATGATTATATACTAATAAAGTTCATAGCCAAAGCCATCACAAATATAAGATTATTCAAATTCAGACCTCCATTAATGGGAAAATAAGAAGGAAATAACCAGAACTCTGGCGGTATGGGTTTGCAACCAGACCATTCATACACTCCAAGAACCTAATAATTTGCAATGAAAAAAATCAATTAGGGACAATACTAGCAAATTAAGATGGACAATCAAGAGAGAATAACTTTAGCTGATGATTATATGACATACAGAAAGGCAAGCTTTTCCAAACAATGGTGTATAGGTAGCACCACCGTGGTCAATGATCCATTTACGAGCCCTTGCACAAGCACTTATTTTACCATCATGATCGGGGTCAACTCCGAAAATTCGTAGGCAGATGTAGTTGATGACCGTGCAGAACATTGAACTATGGCTTTCGACGTCTAGTCCCCACCCACCATCGTTGTTCTTGATGATAGGATTTTATCCAATTTGGAAAAGAATTATATAAAAAATATTCAAGTCATTTGGCAAAAACTATGGTGAATATCAAGTTTGAATGTTTGTAGTTATTTTTGTAAGGGGAAATGTTTAATGAAAACTTAAAGAGAAATTCTATTGAGTCAAGTACGGTACCTGATGGTTGTACATATAACGCAACATCTCTTTGCGATGCTCTTGAGAGAAGATTGTATCAAGATGGCCAGTGATATACAAACATATGACCTGATAATATTGTGCACCGTTGGTATATTCTTGTTTTGTTTTTCTTTGTTTTAAATATAATAATTTTAATAAAGTGTGTCGCTTACAAAGGGAGCGTTGAAGAACATGCAACCAGAGTTTTCAGCTGGCCAATGTCCATCATCAGACTGCAACGCTGCCATATAATGTATACCTCTTCTCAATGCCGTATTTGCTTCTTCGTATGTTATTTTCTCGGCATCCTCTATTTTCACCCGCGGAATATTTTGTTCGAACTTTTTCTCCCTTAGAAACTTTTTAATCAAAAATAAATACAATAAAGTTATGTTGTATAGCTAGACCAGTTTAAGCTCATGTGTTCCGTAGTTCAATGTTTTCACCTGCATACGCCACAACAGATCGGCACTAGCTTTGTATTGTGACCTATTGTCGGAGAAATTTTGTCGAGCCTGCTCAACCTCAAAGAGTTCTTCTGGAGAGCCTGCATGGGTATCAAACTCCCATATCTGCCTTCCAAGGTAGTTGTTGGTGGTGCGCAAGTGAGAATCATCTCCTGTCTTAGCTCCGATCCTCAGCTTCCACATTTTGTATCAATTCTGCTAGACAGAACAAGTCAATGTTTGTGTTAAGATTTGTTTTTCTTTATCTTAAAACACAATTAAAAAAAAAAAAAAAAAGAATCAAACTCTAGATCTCTACACTGATGGCTTGGACTAAGACCACCTCCAATGGAGGGTCTTATGCAAGTCTTAACTTAGGATCTTAAGTCAAAAATCAAAATAATTAAATCAAAAATCAAGAAATGAGTAAGAACCAAGTCTTAATTAGGATTTATAAGAGAAGCTAGGACTCCGATCCCTAAGGTGTCAGCTAGTGATTGGATGTGGGAAAGTAAGACCAAACAAAAAAAAAACAATTCAATATCTTGAAGATGAAGATTGCATTTGAATCTATGCATGTTTTGCATTTGAAAACACTTTAAATAAGATCAAATATATGATACACATGAATCTCTCTTTTGCATTTTACAAATCAAATTATGAGATAACACATGAATCTCTCTTTGTCCTATTTACCACATGATAACACATAGTAACACATGAATCTCTCTTTGTCCTATTTACCACATGATAACACATAGTAACACATGAATCTCTCTTTGTCCTATTTACCACATGATAACACATTGTAACACATGAATCTCTCTAATTTCAAAAACCAAACCAAATTTCAAAAACAAAAAAAATATTAGGAACTCCTCATGGGTATCTTACCATTGGACAAAAAATTTGTTAAGACTTCCTCATGTTGTCTTAACTTTTAAATCTCCAAATTTTAAAACTAAAAAATTGGTAAGATATCCCAAAAATTCTTACCATTGGGATTATCGTGACCTTTACGTGGGCAGTGTCTGTGATTATCAGATTATGGATGAATAAGTAACACACATATGTATCCATTTATATACTAAAGATTGCTCTAAATACATGCACAGCCGTCCAGTGGCAGTTACATTTAACATTTTAAAAGTTGAAATCTAAAAAGTTGAAATCTAAAAAGACACTATTTTTAAAAAATAAATATACTTTTTAAAAGTTGAAATCTAAAAAGTTAAAAGACACCATTTTTTCTTAAATCACTTCTAAATATACTTAGGTACATATATATATTAGATATATTCAAAATATATCTTTTTAATTTGTTAACTAGAAAAAGGCACAATTACAAGTCACAATACTATTCAATTAATATTGTTATATAAAATTTTACATAAAATTGTTAATCATAAAAAATATGAATTCATAATCAAATTTTAAGTTGTTTATACATATATATAATTGTTAGCCAGTATCCAGATTTAACTAGAGATGGAATCATCCGAAATATGGATATGATAGCATACATTATCATGTAGTTAAGTTTAAGCTTATTTTATTTAGATTGAGATTTAAGATCTTCTGTCTTAGTTGGTGGGAGAATGAGAGATGTTGATATGGACGCCATTGGGGAAAGAAGGCAGTGGAGTACGAGTGACTTCGCAGTCTTGGACCATCGAAAAATCGTAGTTGGTGACAAGATTGTGAATAAATATTGCAATCTGAAGCCTTGCAAACTCTGCACCAATACACGATCTCACTCCACCTCCAAACACCATGAACGTCTTAGAACCATTAAGCAGCTCTTTGCCCTGTTTAACATTTTTTCATCAAAACATTTCAATTTTGGATGATATTTTTTGAATAAATAACAAAAATGCTTTACGTAGACTAGAATCAGTATATACCTCCCATCTCCATGGATTAAACTCAAAAGGGTTTTCATATATCGCATGATCATAATGAATCACTGAACTTGCAACCACCACCATCCAACCCGCTGGAATCGTATATCCTGTTACAAGTCCACCCATCACCACCAAAAGAATGTTCCATATATTTAGCAAATATATTTGAGTATATGTTTGAGTAAGCGAGCGTATTATAATAGTAATACTGGCCTTTGATTTCGACATCGTTCAAAGCCTTTCTAAACATTACAGGAGCCACATTTGCCATTCGAAGAGTCTCCTTAATCACCTATATTACAACAAATGTTGTTATTAAGCTTCCTCATATTATACTTATTTTTTTATATACCCGATCGGCTGATCCGGTCAGCTTCAGTAGAAACAAACTGAAATGCTTCAGAGTGGACTTCTCCTCATATTATACTTGAAGTTTCTTAAAAGATAAATAAAATTTACCATGTTGGTGAAAGTCATGCTGTGTCTGTATTCTTCCCAGGTAATTCCAGATTTTTCATCATCTCTGTTTTGAAGAATTGCCATATGTTCTCTCTAAAATATTACAAGAAGAATTTTAAATTAAAAAAAAAAAAATATTACAAGAAAATCATCTCATCAAATCCATGATTCTTCTGTCTTCTTTAGATCAGTGAAAACTTGTTAGCTTCTATTCTATATGGATATACATTACCTTCAACTCTGATAAAACTTTAGGGTTTTTGGCAATGAAGTTCACGGCCAAAGAAACAACCGTAGAAATAGCATCTTTACCGGCAACCGGAAGAACAAAGATATGGTCCATAATGGCTTTGTCATTAAAAAGGTCATCTTCTAGCATTGTACTGAGGAAGTCTCCATGATTCTCTCCTGATTCTTTCCTTGATATAAAAACATCATTTATCACCTTCATAGCCGCTTTGCGTCCCTTGGTGCAATGAAATTGATAGAGACATTAGAGATAATATATCATTTTTAGTGTACACACCTAATCACTTCAAAGTTATGATTTATCTATAGTTTTAACATATCTAAAACTATATTTCTCCTATTATTTGGTTTCTAATTAAATTTCGTCACAAATTTCTAATTATTTGGTTACATTTTTTCCAAAATGTAAAAATGGCTTTACATTTTTCTTGTTTTTATCATATACAATTTAATTCTCCTATTTTTATTTGCATTGTTCTCAAAAAAAAAAAAAAAGAAACAAAGTACGTACTTACCGAAAAAGCTTTGTAGAACGATCTCCAGGTAGAAAGACTAGTGAATGACTCAAACCAATCAAGATTGCATGCCTTGAAACTTTCTATAAGATTTGCTTGAGTCTCTGATCCAAGGTTACTTATCAACTTGGGGGTCAAGTGAGTTATTATCAACTACAAAAGTAACAGAAAAAAACTATTATTAACACATATAATTTGATCAACATCAAAAGAAGAAAGAAAAAGAAAAACAATTTATGTACATACGCTTGTAACGGCCTCCTTAACATCGAAGCTCCCCAGGCTAGCCTTTGATCTAAGTTCCTCGCGGGTCACTCTGTCCATGTCTCTTATCATGTTATGCTTCAATCCCTCAGAGCCAAGAAAATTTAAAGTGATTTGTTTCGCATGCTTGTGGGCGTCCCCATGTTCACTTAACATGTTATCTTTTCCAAAGATCTTGAGAAAATTATCCGGAAGGCTAAACACGAAAGACTTGTTCTCTTGCCGAAAAATCTCGTAGATCACATCAGGATCCGTCGCTACCACAGTATTGGTTCCGAAAATGTTGGTGCGAAACAGTGGCCCGTACCTAAAACAGTGGCAAACATATATATAGTTGCAAATAGACAAAGCTTCTTCTCATTAAAAAGTATTTTGAAAATCTGACCTTAACATCCTATTTTTGACAAAGGGTAAGATCTCGAGGAGTCCATGAGGTTTAAAGAAGTCGATTGTCTCTCCAATTATCGGAAACCCCATTGATCCTGGAGGTAACTTGCCATTGCACTTGGGGTTTGACCATCGGTACCACCATTTGGTTATCACTAGAACAACTAAAGCTGTGACACATATCGAAACGTTCCAAATGTAGCTCATTTTGATGTGCCTTTGAGTCACCCGTTCAGATCTTTAGCGGCTCTTATATAGAGGAAACGGAAAATAAATGATTAAAAATAAGTACAACTACAACAGTTTCCAGTTGCAGATCTAAAAAATAATTTTATTCCGAGCAAAATATTAAATAATAAAATATTAAATGATATTTCGTTGGAGGATATAAATAAATATGTATATTTTGGAAGGTAAAAAAGTTTATTTATTTTTGAAAATAAAGTATCTAAAAGTTACATTTAAAAGAAAGAAGATAATTAATTAAAGCTAGAACAAAAAAAGGAGAATCAAATGAATTTATAGCTAATAAAGAAAAAAAATCTACTACTAATAAAGGGATTTTAATGAGGCTTCTCTGAACTATCCACATCAGTATTTGTTAAAAGTTAAAACAGTCTCTCAAGATGCCACATAGGCAGGCGTTGTGAAGGCTAATTTCCAAATGCCAAGTATACGTGCAAAGCTTTCTTACTTCTCACAACGTGGTTTCATAGAGGACAAATCAAAGCGTTTTTTTTTTTTTTGAATGAATGTAAAATTTATTCAACCAAAAAAACGTTTTACAATGAATGCAACCTTAATTCAAACTTGTTTTTGAACTGAAACCGAAATAAAAGAAAAGAATGTTAGCTTCTGGACTCAAACCATACACGAAGGCCATCTTCGTGTTTGCGGGGATCCTGTCGCCGGATAGATGAGATTTTATTGCGTATCAATCGATCAATCAACTTAATTAACTGATCTGCAGTACTTGGTAATTCGCCATGCCTTCGTTTGTTCCGCTCTATCCAAATAGAATGGGTAGTAGCTTGGAAAAGAAGGCGAAGAATGAAGCCAACCGTGCCTGTGATTGTGGAATTGGATAGAAGATTCAGTACCTCTATGAAACTGGTAGTGTAGCGTTGTTGAAGAAGTCGACGTGCCAGCTCCTCCCAGACTCGCGAAGAGAAGACACAAGAAAAGAAAATGTGCTCTCGTGTCTCCATCGGAGCTTGACAAAGGACACATGACGGATTTACTCCCCTGTTCCAAGAGACCATACACTCACCCGTGGCTAGTCTGTTTTTTGCCGCAAGCCATAGCAGGAAAGAGTGTTTCGGAATAGAGTACGGGAACCAAACACTCTTAGCCCAGCTTATTTTTGGCCCTGCAGTTCGGAGTTGTTTCCAAGTTTCAGAAGTGATGAACCGTGATCTGAGCTTGTTATTTGGTCTTCTCCACAAGGATACATCCGGATCAAGGCATTGTCCCTTGCTTCGAAGTCTCTCTAGCTCTGCCTCAACTTGATTTAAAATATCTAGACGGTGGTGCCTAGCTCTGTGATTTGCTAGGACTGCAGCAACCGTCACTTTAGAGGAAACTCCAAAATCAATGAAACCCCGCACTCCAAGAATATCATATAATCGACCAAGAGAGCACCAATGATCATACCAAAAGGATGTTTGTAACCCACTTTTAATTTCCATTGAGTGAAAAACCTTGGCCTACGACCTGTATTTGAGCAACTTCTTCCACATCCAAGAGCCCAAAGAGGTAGTTTCTTTGACAGACCAGAATGAACCGGATCGAATGAGTTCTCTTTTTATCCAATTTACCCAGAGAGAATTTGGATTTGAGACTATCCGCCAAATGAGCTTAAAACAGCTTACCTTATTCATTTCAACCACAGATTTGAGCCCCAAACCACCTTCATCTCTTGGCTTACAAACATCCCTCCACGCTACCTTGTTCTTCTTTGTGTTGAGAGACGGACCCGACCACAAAAATGCAGCACATATCTTTTCTATTTCCCTTACACAGGCTGAAGGTAATCGAAATGCAGCAATCCAGAAGTTGGTAAGACTTGCGATCACGGAACGTAGTAGTTGTAGTCTTCCCGCAAAGGATAGAAACCTGTTTTTCCATGAACTAATCCGGCCTCTTATTTTTTCAAGCAATGGAAGACAATCAGATAGAGTCATCCGCTTTGTTAGCAGAGGTAATCCCAAATAGCGGACTGGTAATGCACTAGAGTCGAAAGGAAATCTGGCTAGAATCTCAGCTTTGTTATGAGCAGATATACCGGCTAAGAACAGAGTTGACTTCTCAAGACTTATACTCAATCCTGAGATCTTGTGAAAATCCTTGAAAACATCGAGAATTCCTTCCATAGAGGCTGCTCTACCATCCGTAAAGACCATTATGTCATCTGCAAAACATAAGTGTGTAAGCTTCATATTTTTGCATCTCGGGTGAAAACCAAATTTTTTTACCACCGCAGCCTTATCGAGTAGAGATGATAAAACATTCATACAGATCACAAATAGATATGGAGAGAGAGAGCATCCCTGTCTCAACCCCTTTTCACTCTTGAAAAAACCAGCAAGCTCTCCATTTATTTGAACAGAGAAAGAGGCCGTCGAAATACATAGAGAAATCCAGTGAATGAATTGTTCTGGTAGGTCCATTGCTGCGAGCACATTCAACAAAAAATCCCATTGTACGGAATCAAAAGCTTTCGAAATGTCTATCTTCATCGCACAACGAGAAGACACACCTTCCTTGTGATAATCTCTCACCAATTCAGTAGCAAGTAGTAAGTTTTCCATTAGAAGTCTATCCTCAATAAACGCTGACTGATTCGGAGCAATGAAATCAGGGAGAATGGTCTTTAACCGATTAGCCAATATTTTTGAGATAGTCTTATACACCACATTGCAGCAAGAAATGGGTCTATAATCTTTCATCACCCGTGCATCTATCGTCTTTGGGATAAGAGCTAGAATTGTCGCGTTTAGTCCTTTTGGCAAGAAACCAAACTTGAAGAAAGATTGTATTGCAACTGTGAAATCACTTCCAATAATTGACCAAGCTGCCTTATAGAACTCCACTGTGTAACCATCCGGTCCCGGCGATTTATTTGTAGGCATAGAAAACAAAACCTTTCTCACCTCATCCTCCGTAACATCCGCAAGAAGATGATCCCGCTTTGCCGGAGGGCAGCGATAGGGAAGCAGCTCCCGAAGATCATCAACCTCAATACCTACATAGTCCGACGGTTTATGTGTCAATAGTTCTGAGAAAAACCGGACCCCTTCCGCTTTTATTTCCTCCATACTCTTAAGACAAATGCCATTAGGGTCTAAAATCTCATGAATAGAGTTTTGAGCATTTCTTTCCTTTATAGCATTATAAAATGCCTTATTGTTCTTGTCCCCCACATCTAACCAGTGCAACTTTGATTTTTGTTTCAGAAAACCCTCCTCTAAACCCGATAACCTCTCCCATCTTTCAACAGCTAAGGACTCCATGGCCACTTCTACCTGCGTCGGATTAGAGAGAGTACTCAACTGTCTTGCCTCTAATTCCTGAAGAGCTTCTGCAGATTTATTTGATATATCTGACAATGTGTTACGACTAAGAACTCGCAGTGATGGTTTGAGTTGCTTTAGCTGTTTTGAGAGTCGAAACAACGCTGATGTAGAGTGAAACAGAGTCGGATACCCTCTCCAATATTCCTCCAATTGAATAAGAAACTCCGGCTGAGAAGCAATAACATTTGAAAACTTAAAAGGCCCTTTTGGTTTCTGAATTTCTGAATCCAAGAAGATCTTACCACGGAGATGGTCCGAGCAGCCCCCGGATTCCATGACACAATAAGAGTTCGGATACTCTCTAAGCCATTCAGCATTATGTAAAACTCTGTCCAGCTTCTTACATATTAGACCATGCTCTTGTCGGTTGCACCAAGTAAAAAGGGGACCGTGAGTTCTCAAGTTTGAAAGAGAACAATATCTTACTACGTCCTGAAAGTCCCTCATCCCCGAAGAGACCATTGGATTAGTAGCAGAATTAGAATGTTCCTCAATGTCTAGTGTCTCATTAAAATCACCAAAAATAGACCAAGGCTTCCCACGAATTACAGCAAGGTCATGTTGCTGTTGGATATCACGCCACAATTCCTTTCTTTCCTCTGGAGTATTAAGAGCATAAATAAAAGAGCACCAGAACTCCTCATCTACTCCATGTAACTTAATATTACAAGTGATCATCTGCCCACTTTTAAATACCACCTGCAATTTAGTTTGTTTGCTCCAAGTCACCCAAATCCTTCCCAATCTACTGAAATCATAATTAGCCTCTAGACTCCAATCACCAACAGTTCTCTCCTTCACACCAGTAACTCTGTTTTCTTTGACTTTCGTTTCAAGTAAACAACCAAACTGAAAAGAATTTTCCCGAATCCATTTTCTAATAACACGTTGTTTCTTGGACTTATTCAGACCTCGAATATTCCAAAAGAAACCCGACATTAATGTTTAGATTTGGAATTCTTCTTTCTGAAAGTGCTCTGGACATTGCCCTTTGCTCGTTGGGAATTTTCTGATAAAAACTTGTGTGAATTTTTTGAATCACGTGGAAGCTGCACCCTCAAAGCAACCGAATCCTTATTCAATTGAGACTTTGGATGTGTTTCCAACGCTGCGTCTTTTATTTCAATAGCCGGAGTGGATTCAGCCTTTTCAACTGTTTCTGTTTCCGGAATGATTTCACCCTCTTCTTGAGTATCTTGCAAAACATCAAACCGTGAAGGAGATATTATACGAACCTGACCATAAACCAAGTTTTTTCCTGACCCTTTAGAGTGTTTCCCCCCCGAATTGGGGACATTCTTCCATTCACCATCCTGTCCTGTTTCGGACTGCTTCACGACCGGAGAAACAGGGAGTTCTGTTTCCACAACCGACAAAACCTTCGCAGTGACATTCTCTTCTCTACCTGCTTGTAGATTCACACTCTTTGGGCTTAACCTCAATTCAAGTACATCGTTTGAAGTTTCTTTTTCTGTAATACTGTTTGAGACTGGTGCAACAATTATTTGCGAATCTGGTCTAGCCACTGGGGAGCGAGATACTCTCGGAGAACCAGCTCGACCAATATTTGCTAAACAACCATCATCCGAGTGTCCCCACTTTTTGCAAATACCACATTTTTGTGGTAGCCATGGGTATTCAAATTCAATACGTACTTCTTCTCCTCGTATTTGAAAAAAATAAGTCTTTGGAAGCTCTTTTGATAAGTCAGCTTCCACGAAGACGTTTGCTTCCTCGAAGCTTGAAACGAGCTCCGTGTCCGGATGCAGCCTCTTCGGTTCACCCACAGGGCTTGCTAAGAAACTGAGACCCGGCCACGTAAACATAGAGTGCGGAACATTTTTAATTTTTACCCACAGCGGCATGGTTTTAATCTCTGGCTGAGCATCCTCCACTATGGGAGTCCATTTTGACATCATCATTGGCTGCTCACAAATATTCCACATGCCTCTCCTTAGCGCACGCATCCTTGCAGAGACGTTACGTATCCGGAACTTGACAGTGGTGGAATTGACCTCAAATACATCAATCCGAATACTCTTGTCGCCCAAGTTCCAGATCTTATTCACTATGACATGGATCTTGGCTACATGAGGGGCAGTAGACGGGAACCGGCCGATTAGAAAATCTTCCCACAGGGGGACTGTATCATTCAGAACTTCATCCGGTACAGCCACCATGGCCTTACCATCCACCATTGAAACTTTTACATCAAACTTAGCAAGGCTTGGCCTGCTACCAACGGCATTTGCGTACGACTTAGGACTGGATACCTCTTTAGGCTGACTTGAAACCTCCTGTGACTGACTTGAAACCGGCATGGAGACCTCTCCGACACCCTCCACCATCTTAGGGAACCCGGCGGCTGGCCGCCTGAGCACTCCTTGCGTGAGGCAAACGAAGAAAAACCTAATCGCCAAAAAAATCGCCCCTGCTGACGTGTATCAATCAAAGCGTTTTCGAGTCACTGAAACGCCTCTCTTCTTTGTTTATGAATTCGTCTCCTCCATCTATCTGTGAGACCCGTTTAGGCCCTTAGAGGCACATCTTCCTAATTGAAAACCTAGCGAGTACGTGTGTACTCAATCTCAACCTTAACAAAACCATAGAATTTTGATCTCAGGTCACCATCATCCACCATCGTTGAGATCGGAGTCATTGTTTTGGTTCGTGGTTGCGTTTTCGATCAACTAGTCTATAAGTGGAGAACTGTAGTTGATTGTCACCTACTCACTGTTCAATACCGGTTTCGATTAGGTAAAGCAAACCTAAAATGGATATGAATATGACTTAATTCTACTGAAAGTGGCTTTTTTGGCTATTGAATACGTGGCCTATGTTTTGTTTTTTTTTGTGAAGAAGAGGAAGAAGGAATCAGTGCCAAGTAGTGACTTTGGTGGTCAGTTTCTGGCAAAGGTGGGGGCACTATATGGGTAATGGGGTCAGCTGACCCC